GGGCAAATTTCTCCGAGTCCCAAATGGTATTCCCTCTATTTAGTATAAATAGTTTAAACAACATCCACCCGCAAAACACTAAATCAAACATAACACAATCGTTTATAATGCAGGACAATATTATTTGGTGGATGGTGGTTACACAAATGGTGCTGGCTTTCTATCGCCATATAGGGGTGTCAGATATCACTTAGATGAATGGGGTACAGGGTCCCGTACTCCACAAAATTGTAGAGAATTTTACACCTTCGTCACGCCAAAGCTAGGAACGCGATTGAACGTGCTTTTGGCATTCTAAAAATGCGTTGGGCAATTCTCAGAAGTAACTCTTTCTACCCCATTAGGACCCAAAATCGCATTATCATGGCGTGCGCAGTTATTCATAATTTTATACGTACAACAATGCCTGAAGAACCCATTGAGAATGAGATTTCAGAATTCCCGATACCTTCGAACCCACCGTCTAACGACGACTACATAGATCAAGTTGAATGTAGTCCCGAATGGTCCCAGAAGCGCGATCTATTAGCCCAAGAAATGTTCACAAAATGGCAGGGCGGTGTTCTCTACTAGATAAACTAACTTATTTTTGTGTACTTTCAATAAGATTATGTTAGTTACTAAGTAATGTTGACAAATGTTCTTAAATTATCTTTTGTTGTTTATTATACAATATTGACATTAAATATTATTGTGTTTTGAGTATTTCCTATATATTTTCTTGTGTAGCATATCATTTTGTTTGACGGCATTTTTCATATAACTTTATTTAGAAAATGTCTATTGTTACAACATTATTGCTACAACATTATTGTTCCTACAGCAAAATTGTCATGGAACCACCAATCACATCCGGTACCAGAAAAAAGAGCGGTGCCACCTCTAAACGCCGTGTGTGGACATCGGCTGAAGAGAATGCCCTAATTAATGCTCTAAAGGATATTGTAACTGAGGGTTGGAAAATGAAAAACGGCTTCAGAACGGGCTATGCATTTCAGTTGGAAAAAAAGATGAAGACATTTCTTCCCAGATGTGAAATTCGTGTTGACCCGCACATAACTTCCAAAATGCATGTCTGGAAGAAAACTTATGCGAGTTTGGCCAATATAAAATCAAATAAATCGGGTTTGGGTTGGAATGATGTCTCAAAAAGCTTCTCCTGTGATGATGAGAAGTACCAATCGTTGATGAAGGTTTGATTAAAAATCCACCTCTTGAGTCGTCTATAATATTTCACATAATTCACATATTCTCATTACATTTTTTTGTCCCAACCTTTCGCCAATAGGTCGATCCAAATGCGAAGGGACTGAGGAACAAGTCTTTCCCCCACTTCGATGATTGGGAGGTCATCTTAGGGAAAGACAGAGCCTCTGGTGGTGATGCCTAGTCTTTCGCAGACGCGACGCAGGATGTACAACAGGACCCACCGTACGAAGAATATGACGAGATCCCCTCGTAGACCACGCAGCCCACCCATGGCCCGGGCAATGATGCCGGCCAGTCGTCGGGTACGACGTCTGAAAGTAATTCTAAGAGAGGGGGAAAGATGAGGGGCAAAAAAAGGAGGTCCACACACTTGATGGACGACCGTTTCATCGATGTCATGGAGTCTTTCTCGCTGAACACCGATGGCCGGTTGGCCAAAATCAATGCCAGACTGGTCAACGAGCAAGCGACACAGGCTCGCAGGCTCAGATGAATGAAGTAATGGATGCACTCCGAACTTTCAACTTTCTATCCGGTGAAGAGCGAATGGTGATATGCCTGCGTTTGTGCAACAATGCGAGGGAGCTTGCTATGTTTTTGGGCATGGGGGAAGAGGATAGGGCACTCATGGTGAGGGTCATCCGCGATGTTCGGGGATAGTGTTGGTTATGGGAAAATTGTTATGTCTCGTTATGTTGTCCTTTTATGACTTTTGAACGGTGTGAACTGTTATTGTTGGTTTTGTGGTTTTGTGGTTGATGCGACATGTTTGAATTGTTGGGATTTTTGAATGGGTTTGTGGTTTTTGGGACATGTATGAAATGTGAACGGTATGAACTGGTATTGTCTTTATTAGAATGGTGACCATGTATTCTATTGTAATGGTGTACTTGTTTTGCATTGCACGTTGAATGAAACTTGTTGGTGTTCTTCTTCAACTTATTTATTCTTTATGTTATACCGCTCGGTGCAGGTTCACTATGGCTACGTACAACGAAAGCCCGCCATGGGGGTGTGATGCGGAAGTGGCTAGGCAGCTCAAGAACACCGCAAGTCGGGCCTACCATGCGCGCAGAAGACAAGCACGAGCGACGGCATGATGAAGATCGTGTGCCTCGACTGTCGACAAGCCGCTCCCGCGCCTTAAATCGCTCGATAGATGTTAGGAAGTCGCACACTCGCAGCCTTTCTAACGGATATAATTGCAATAGAATTTTGGTGAAAA